GAACACATTTTTCATCAGCCATGATTGTTTGCTCCTACCTTATCCGTCTCCAACCTTTTGTTCAGTCATATTTGCTTCTTCAAGGAGGGCAGTTTGATCACGCGGATCGACTCTTCTACTCCATTGAGAAAGCCTGGACTTCAGCTTCGAAGGACAATATGACTGATGTTCGGGAACTTATTCCCGAGTTCTTTTTCCTACCAGAATTTTTGGTTAATTCAAATTCATACAATTTTGGCATGAAGCAAGGTTCAGACGAAGCAATCGACTCCGTCATTCTCCCACCATGGGCAAAGGGTGATCCGAAGATTTTTATCGCAAAGCATCGTGAGGCGTTGGAGAGTCCATATGTTAGTCAACACCTCCACGAGTGGATCGACCTAGTATTTGGATTTAAGCAACGTGGAGAGGCAGCAATTGAGGCGACAAACGTATTCCACCATTTATCATATCATGGCGCTATCGACCTGGACAACATACAAGACCCTGTAGAGAGGCTAGCGACTATCGGCATCATTCATAATTTTGGACAGACCCCTCACCAGGTCTTTACGAGAACGCACCCTATAAGAGAGGAAATCACACATAAGCATGCGAGATTGGATGTCGGCGCGGAGTCTTTGATTCGACTACCCTTCCCATTGCTTGATAGCCATGAACGAGTTCAAGCCTTGGTACATTCGTCAAAATATGAGCGTGTATTCTGTTCAAACGCCTTCCGATTGAATATGCCACCATCTTACGATAAATACATGGAGTGGGGCTTCGTAGATGCAAGTGTTAGATTTTATCACTTTGAGAGCAAAAAGCTTTGTGGACATCATGAGCATCTGCATCAAGGTCAAATTTCAACTGCTGTTTTTGCCGACCACAGAACCTTGGTAACAGCGGGAACCGATGGCACTATCTCAGTTTGGCAGGTTCAGGCAACATCGAAGTCTGTCGAGCTTCAACCGAAGGCTTGTCTCTTTGGTCACGTCAATCCTGTAATTGCGATGGCAGTTTCGAGATCGTTCAGTGTTCTTGTCAGCGCTTCCAACGATAACATAGTTCTTGTATGGGACCTGAATAGGCTTCGTTTTGTGAGGCAACTGAAAGCAGATTCTCCTGTGAAAGTGAGCACAACTTCATTCCTACTTGTTGACACTTCAAGCTTTATTGTGACTGATTCATATCCAATTAAATGATAGTGTGTAAGTGTCAACGATGTCACGGGGAACATCGTTCTTTGCAAAAATCCAGATGTTAGCATCTACTCTCTGAATGGCGACCATATCTTGACGCAAAGTATCTGTGATGGACCGGACGACCAGATATTATGCTGTGCTTTCTACGAAGGGCTTGGGAACGAATGGCTGGAGCGTGAACTACTCTTTACAGGCCATAGGCGCGGTATTGTTAATGTGAGACAATATTCTCTTATTCTTAGCACTGCATACTAACAGCTATGTTCAGATCTGGCAGAAGTCAATCAGGGACGGGCGGTTTGTACTGATTTTGGTGAAAACGTTGCGCCATGTCAATCAATTCCACAGTGAAATACAGGTATCGGCGGGTATCACAGCAATCCTTCCAATGCCCCAAGCAGTGTACTCAGGCGATGAACAGGGGAGAGTCGTAAGTTCCCAATAAAAGTATCGGGGAAGAGTAAATGGACTAACCCGAGCCCTTAGTATGAATGGGATTGTCAATTAGTCCAAAGGAGTCAGTCACCGGCTCTTACTCGATAGGCGTGTCGCTCGTGGGATTCTGAAGGGGCGTTTTTATGGGTGCTCGTTGGTTTCTTCAAAACATTTCTTATTTTTCTCTGACCCGTTTGTTTTGGTAACGCTTTGTATAGTATTGTTACACAAAGTCTCTTTTCGGGAGTGAAGATAGAGGCACTTTCACTCAGAAACGGATTTACTTGATACGTCCTGGTCGTAACAGGTCTAGTGATAACTTCTGAAACGCATGAGAATAAATAGAAGTTATGATGAAGTTGTCAATCTAGAAAGCCATTGGATTTAGATCATATTTACCGTTTTACGTAAACAGTTTTGTCAACCGGAGAACCATCTGGGCCAGAACCTACTATTCGTGAGCAGATAGTGATAAAATAAGAGAGCAGCCAAGGCACCTGGCAGATTTTTTTCTGGCAGTGTTTGGATTGTTAAAATTTCAATCCCAAACTTTCAGGGCACAAGTGCACTGAGATATACCTGGAAGTATGACTGACAGAGGTAATACGCGACTCGACTTTTAGATGATCTGTCTTGATTCTAATTTGGCTTGAATGCACAGGTATCAGAAAGATTTTTGGGTCTCACATCCTGCCTGACATGTAGATGCTGCAATAACCAGGAGTTGTGGTCCCGGGCTTCAGGCGTCCATTATTGAAGCTGTATAAAGTAGAAATGGCGGCCTAAACCTCAAATTCCATACATAGAAGGTATTTTTCAAGGATGAAATTCCCCTCAAAGATGTTTCACAAAATCCCACGTGTCGCTCAAAAAGTAATTATTCGTGGCCCCCCTTATCGGCCTTAGACGGACGGAATGCCTGACTCTGATAGATAGAGCAAGGCCTACCGATTCTGCAGGCCCTAATAATGCAATGGCAAGGATAGCAAAGATACTACAAATTTCAATTATTTCTCCCTATGTGCAGTTGACAGACATAAACTCTGAGATGAAACCAGCGAGCTTTCCAGTAAACAAATACGGTTCGCAAATCTAAAGTTAAGTGTCCATGGTTTTTGTGACCCCATAGATGGCTTCGAAGTAATCAGAATTCCGCACCTCTTACCTGATCCCTGGTGGTAAGATGTGCTACCTCCTAAATAGATAACTACAGGTAAACGACCGAGTGATACATGGTGATTCGTGGAAGGCCTTAAATATCCTCACTGGATACTAGTGGGGTATTCCGCCGCCTTTCTGAGGCCTTGAAAAGTGATATATTCTGATTAGCTGACCAAATATCACGAAGGTTCAGAACCAAGCCAGAGGTGCATAACATTACTTGAGCTAGGCAAACCACGCCAGCCCTTGGCCAAATTCATACTGAGCCGCATTATATATCGCATTTTTGAAGGTGCAAAAGATTTCATGAAGGGAAAAGAAACTTGAGATGCACTTTAACTAGGCAGGTTGGTGAGATTTGATAGCGATATCCCCTTATCGTCTTGGGGTAACATTTTTTGTTCAGGATTGGTAAATCGGCCATATTTGACTCAGGCAGTCATCAATCGATGGAGGGGGTGAGCATTGTCCGTGATTAGTTGCCGCTTTTCAAGATAAATTTTATCTTCGCCTGCCTTGACGAGAAGGATTGTGCAACTCTTGAGGCTTAGGTGTAGAGATTTATCGGGGCCACGAAGCAACCTTCGCGTGGTGCTCTTCGCCCTTGTCCTTTCTTATGCCTGAGATCGAAAGATCAAAATCCCATCAAACTCCAGGTTCAGAGGTGATCATGGGTCGGTTTGGTTTTGTGGCCATTCTTTGGCTTCTAAAAGGTCCATGTAATTAAATGAATGGAACGGGGGAGGTTAAAATAAGCATTCGTTTAAGGTGACACAGCTGTGTCAGGCTTCTAAAAGCAAACAAAAGGCTCCCCCAGCGTAAATTAAACAACCTTGTGGAGCAAACCGATAAAGATCGACCAGGAACGATGAGGAAGGTTAACAGATAAAGAACAGATATCTAGAGCCGCTGCACGATAGACATTCCCAGTGGTAGATCCGAAGTTCCGGGGGATGCTCTGAGCTGTGAGGTGCTAGAGCACTCCGCTCGACACATATGTGGTTAGTCAAGTTGAAGATTGGTGCAGGCGGCAAGCACCGCAACGGGGAGGCACAATGTTGCTGAGCTGAGGCCACATATCATGGAATAGAGTAGAACAGGCGTAGAACAGGCACATGCAGAATGCGTATTAAGAGTTTAGCCTCATCGCAGAAATAGAATACGGCGGTGGAGCCGGCGCTGGAATTTTTCCTATTCACGTTGGTCGATCCAGCAACCTGTTCACCAGGTGCATAGCGCAGAGGGCTCTACGATATCTACATGTACCCATTCACCAAGATGGTGGGCAGTCTCAGTGCTTGTGTCTAAATCGCGTGAGAGCTCACCGAAGAGAATGTGCCTACTAGAGTACCTACCTAGAGTATGTAGGCACTCTACTCAAAGTAACGAACGGTCTTATGGCTGTGCAGAGCCCAGAGATTATACTCGGTAGAATGGGTATAGCACAGATGCGCAAAGCACACTTCACACTTCACACATGCTCTACCTATTCATTTTCAGATTCATATTTTCATTCACACGGGTGGGTGGGTGGGAAAGAGGCGGCCGATATTACTGGCTGGCTCTGCAGAGACGTTCCCGACAGGTTTCCTTATGGACCTTGCCTACTACTCTACCTCCTCTAGAGTGGAATAGGTACCTTAGACATGTTCTACAGCTTTATATCGAGTCGGGCTGCATCCAGGTACTGTGCGTAGAGTACCAATAATCGTGTAGACTGTCTGTAGCACTCAGGGGATAATTCACTGTGCCGGGTGATGAATGATGATGACGATGATGCCTACATTATGTACATGTAGCAGTTTTGTGGGAGTTCTTTGACTCTCTCATAGTGGCGTTAACGTGTCTTGGCAACATCAGTGTCCGCAAAGGGCCCCTTTAACATTTAACAACGAAAGGCTCTCTCCCCTCTCCTCTTCTTTCTCTTTTTCTCTCCCCGTCATCAATTCAAGAACTCCCCCACCAAGTGATCAGTCAATCCAACAAGGCTCTCCCTTCCCCCCTTCCTCTCCCAACCTCCTTTGAAGTGCGTCTTCAACTCTCCCGTCAATTACAGTAACAGTCCCTGTTCCATCCCCCACGTCGTAACGAACTTTCTTCCAACCAACCCCTCAATCAGTTTTTCTCTGGCAGAACCCTTCTTTTAAGGACCTCTTCCATCAACCTTTCTTTCTTGATAAATCAAGCCCACAAAGCAACCAAAAAAAGAATCTAAAAATGTCCACCAACGCCGTTGAGAACACCGAAGCAGTTGCTGCTGCCCCGGTTGATGCTACTGCTCCCACTGCTGTCGAGAACATGACTGATGCACTTGCCAACACCACTATCTCTGATGAGACTAGTGCTGCCGATGCTGCTCATGCTGCCTCTGCTGCTGAGGGCAGGAGACTTTACATCGGAAACCTGTCTTACGCTACCACTGATGAAGAGCTGAGGGCTTTCTTCTCTGGGTTTGAGATGTAGGTTCCCTCGAGCTGTTTGTGCTTTTTTTTTTTTTTTTTTTTTTGACACCTCCCCTGCTACCCTTGTCCGGAAGCATGCATACCCGTTACGATATGAAATCTTGATCCAATATAAACTAACATACCTCAAGTGAATCATCATCTATCCCGACAAACCCACGCAGCGGCCGTCCAGTCGGTTATGCCTTTGTCGATCTCAAGACAAAGGAGGAAGCCGAGCGTGCTATCGTGGAGCTCAGCGGAAAGGAGGTTTCAGAGAGGAAGGTCAGCGTTCAGGTTGCCAAGAAGCCTGGAACTGCCTCTTCCAAGAGGGAGGCCTACAACAACCACTCGGACGAGCAACAGCAGGAGGATGGTGAGCACCAGCAGCAGGGTGGGAGGAGAGGTGGTAGGAATTCTCGCAGGGGAAGAGGACGTGGCGGCAGGGTTAGTACTCAATCCTTTAACCTATCATCGGTCCGTTTACTAACCGGGATTATAGGCTCGCGGTGGTAACCGTGCCAACTATAATGCCAGCGGTGAGGCTACTGCAGAGGAGGGGACCACCCCCACTGCCAATGTTCTTCCTCTCACCGAGGCTACCAACACCACTGAGGCTCCTAGCTCTGGTGATGCACCCGCTGCCCCCACTGGGCCTTCCGCTGAGGGAGACAATGCCAACTTTAGGGGCAGAAGGAGAGGCCCCCCCGAGAACGGTGTTCCCAGTGCTACCAAGGTCATGGTTGCTAACCTGCCGTATGAGCTGACCCAGGAAGAGGTTAGTTGCCATTGATCACAAGTTGAATATTCGGGTGACATGCTAACTCTGTGTCCCAATCCTAGCTTTTGAAGCTCTTTGCGGACTATGATCCGGAGAGTGCCACCATTGCTCTCCGTCCTATCCCCCGCTACATGGTTCGCAAACTCCAGCTACGCGGAGAGCCCCGCAAGGGCCGTGGTTTCGGTTTCGTCACCCTTGCCTCTGAGGAGATGCAGAAGAAGGCCGTCAGCGAAATGAACGGCCGCATGGTCAACGACAGAGAGATTGCTGTCAAGGTCGCCATCGATAACCCGAAGATTGAGGGAGAGATCGAAGAGGCCAAGAAGCAACAGCAGCAACAGCAGGAGGGGTCACAGGAGGCCAAGCAAGAAGAGACCAAGGAGAATGGCGTTGCCGAGACCTTGCCCACTGCTGCTTATTGAGAGGTACTTGAAATGTGAAAATTTAACGGCTGAAAATAGAAGAGTTTGGGGGAACGGTTTGCTAGAGGTCTTTTTGTTTTTAAAAACCAATACTGTCGTTTCTCTTTACTCTGTTGTTTAGGTGCTTTTGAAAAAGTGGGGGTTAGGGCTATAATTTTATTTTTTTTTCCTTTCTTGTTTTCCGGCGAATGTGGGGCAGGGGTTTGATTTTCGCTTTTTTTTTTCGCAGGATTTTTTCTACTTGCTATAATATTCGGGTAGTTGGGTTTAGTCAGTCTGCTTCCAAAGAATATGTCTGGAGGAAGAAAAAAAGTTGAGGGAAATAGGGCGGTTGATCTGAATCTGGTTTCACAGGAGTTGGTATGAGAGATGGTAGTGCTTGGTTCTTTTTTTTTCTTTTTTTTTTCTCTTGATCATTTCGTAGCTCATTGCAAAAAACCAATGGTCTACGGTGGTCAACTTGATGAGCTTTCATGGGCGGTTAGCTGGCGCTGCAATGATTGAGAGAGCTGTAAATTGTGAATATGATAGGATCACCAACTATCACCCGGTGTGCGAGTGACAAGCCACAAGCCAGTCCAATCCAAACAGCCCACCCACCCACAGCGGGTCTGTGTAGATGTGAGCAACTTTTCGATGGAGGAAAACACCGAACAAATTATTCTAGAAATCAGTGTTCTATTCCCGGACTGACTGGTGTTTTGAAGAAGAGAGAGGCCAGGGTTAGGTGAGGCGCTGGCTACAGGAGCTGGGGTCAACTATCGAGTTGCAGGTTTGTAGACGATACCGTATACCTGCGCTTTTAAAATCTGGGACAAGAAGCAGCGTGTTATAGCATAACAGCCTTCACCGCCCAGAACACACACATGTAGCTACAGGAATATACGGCTACAGGAATGCCCAGATGCTCGTCCAATCCACGGCTCCATATATGGCTAGAACCTAACAACCCGCAATTCACGCAGACAATTCACGCAACCTATCCACAAAGCCAAATTTTTGCAAAACAACATATAGACAATTACAATTCAGGCAAGCAAGTAAACAAATAAAAAGAATAACCTACAATTTACTCTCCCTCTTCCTGCCCTCCACCCCCTCCACCACGCCCTCAGTAAGTACACTCTCTGGATACTCCACCCCGCTGCCACCACCGCCCTGCCGGTGCCACGCACCGCCGTCAACAACCAGCGTCGTCCCGCTGATAAAGTCCCCCGCGGGGCTCAGCAGGAACACCGTTGCGTCGGCGATCTCGCTCACGGTGCCGAAGCGCTGCAGCGGTATTGCGCGCGCTAACGCCGCGAGAACGTCTGGCTGGCTGAGGCGTGACATGCCCGCCGTGTTGGAGATGGGGCCGGGGGCTATACACTGTTGTCACCAGCACGTCATGTTAGCTCTCTTCTAATTGGGGTCAATGATCCTGGGGGGGGGGTGGGGACATACGTTTGAAGTGACCCCATGCGGCCCAAGCTCCACACACAGCACCTGGCTGAGCGCATCGATGGCCGCCTTTGCGGCGCTGACATGCGCCTGGTAGGGCAGGCCGTTATAGTGCAGTGTCGCGCTGACAAAGATGATCTTTCCGCGCGTGCGCTTCAGCTCCGCGAGCGCGGCTTTGACGGTGTTGTAGGAGCCGAGCACGTCGATGTCCATCACGGACTTGAAGGCGTTGGCGGACAGGTTCGTGGTGGTTGCGAGGAAGTTGCCTGCTGCGCCGCATCTGTTTTTCCGCACACATCCACTGTTAGCATCCTCCGGGGGGGGGGGGGGGGGGGAGAAGGGCGGGGAAGAGGGGAAAATACATGACGTAGTCTACGCTCCCCAACTCGCTCACTGTCCGCTCCACCGCCTGCTCCATTGCCGCGGCGTCGCGCACGTCCGCGATGATGCTGATGCACTTTGCGCCCTCACGTAGGGCTACGATCTCGGCGGCGCGGGAGTCCGTCTTGGACGGGTTGCGGCCGATGATGGCGGCGTTGGCGCCGAGGGCGACGAGCGCGCTGACTTGCGCAGAGCAGATGTCGCCCTGTGGGGGGGGGGGGGGGTTAGCTGTGGCTATGCTGGAGACAAGGGGAGGGGGAGGTGGGGGTGGGGGGTGGGGGTGGGGGGTGGGGGAGAGCTTACGGCGCCGCCGGTGCAGAGGACGACTTTGCCTTCTGCGGGATTGGGGTGGTTAGCTTAGCTGGCTGGCTGGGTAGTTGGGACCGGGAGTGCGCGGGGTGGGCGTGGGAGGCTTACCGAAGATGTTGGGCGCCCAGACGGGCGACATGAGCGGTGGTGCCATTTTGTGTGTGTGCGCGGGTGTGGCGGGTTTGATTGTTGTGCGGTGCGGTGCGCGGATTTCAGCTCTGTCCCGGGTTGCGCAGCGGCGGACGAGAGCTCTTTTTGTAGCTCGACGGAGCTCTCCACACACCCCTAACCCTGACCGAGACCGGCCCGTGATCACTAAACCGGGGGGTTCGTGTGCCGAGGCTGCACGCGGGGCCGAGTGAGAGCTGGTGAGTGGGGGTAATGATTGGTGCACTGGATTTTAGGTCTGGAAGAGAGGAGTGTCTGGGGGTGTCCCTGAGGAGTGACCGTATTCACAGAGATGCTACGCTATTCTATATACAATATCCAGACACTGGCTGCTGGATCTAGCTGGCTACATACAGAGAAGAGGAGGAAGAAGAGGAGACAAAAAAAAAAAAGACTTTTGGTTAGAGAACAGAAAAAGAGAGACATACACTCATAACTCATCTATACATCCTGAGCAGGAGAACCGACTACCGGTACTTTGCATACTCGGCCTCCTCCTTCCTGCGCTCCTCCACGCGGGCAACCACCTCCGGCCCCCACACGTCCGCCGCGCTCTTCCGGCCCTTCAGCACCTCCTTCTCGTGCTTCTTAGCCTCATCCTTCGTCATGACCACCACGCCGTCAATACCAATGCGGTGCTCCTCCATGCCCCACACACCCCCATCTTCCTTCTCCGGCAGCGCCTCCCACCTCGTCAATACAAGTCTGGTATAATACCCGCTCACCACGCTGCGGCCCTTAAACACCTCCTCCACCACATAGCCCGCATCCTCCTCCCTCAGCGGCACCCTCAGCCCGGCCACATTCCCACGCAGCCTACTCTCCTGCCCCGCCAGCTGCGCAATCATCTCCTCATACAGCTTCCCGCGACTCTTGCCCACGCTATACTCCAGCGGATACCCCGCAATGCTCGCAATGACATGGTTCGCCACACACAGCCCAAACACCCCCGGCATGGTCCCCAGCACCGGCAGTATGCGCACCCGAAACTCGGGCAGCGGCGCCAGCTCGTCCACGCCGCCCTTTGCAAACTCCTCTGCTGACAAGGGTAGCAGCGCGGCCTTGCCGGGCCCGGGCTTCTCGGTGCTGTACACGGTGGGGATGCCCGTGGTGATGCCCTTCTGCCGCAGCCGGCGGCGCGTGGAGCGCGAGAGGGGGTCCTCGAACGACTCGGAGATGTCGCCGATTTGGATCCGGGTGGGGTCCGACTTGCAGCCGGCGCCCATGGCGGAGATGACTTTGAGACCGTGTGAGTGGCAGTAGGCGAGGAGGTCGACCTTGGTGGCGATGTTGTCGATCGCGTCGACGACCCAGGTCGGGTTGCCCTCTAGGAGTGTCTCTGCGTCGGCCAGCGTCCAGAGCTCGTTCCGGGCATCGATCTCGACCCATGGCGCCACGGCGGCGAGGTGGGATTTCAGTGCGTGGACTTTGGGTGTGCCGACGTCGGCGAGCGTGGCTACGGCGTGGCGGTTGAGCGAGGAGAGAGACACTTGGTCAAAGTCGATGAGGCGGATCTTGCCGACGCCGGAGCGGACGAGCATGGTGGCGGCCCAGGAGCCGACGCCGCCGCAGCCGACGACGACGATGATGGTGGAGGAGCGGACGGCGGCGAGGCCGGGGGTGCCGAGGAAGGTGGCGTTGCGGGAGAGCTGTTCGGCGATGAGGTCTGCGGGAAGTTAGTGGTGAGAATATGGAGGGAGAGGGATGGGGGATGGGTAGAGGAGAGGCACCTTCGTCCCAGTCGCCGCGGAGGGCAGAGGCGGCGAGGGTGCGGTCTTTGTCGGTGGAGGCGGCAGCGCCATAGTCTGTGAGCTTGAGGGAGTGTCAGGTATTACCTTCTTCACAACTATATCAAACAATTGACACGGAGAAAAACATACAGCCACAGGCTCCGAGCTCTTCGGGATCGAGTCCTTCAAGTTCTTCACCTTCGACAACCGGTTCACCCTCTGGAACGCCAGGATCGTGGACCCCACCACCACGCCCGACACGAGCGCCGTCAGGGTCAGCTGTGTGCGGTGCGACGAGAGCAGCTTTGCGTCGAGGTTCATGATTGCTTGCGGCAATAGTGAGCGTGAGTGTGAATGGCAATGAGTGGATTGCGGGTGGATCGTAGTTCGTCAATGATATCAATCACTGCTTTGTGGGCTGGTTTTTGCGTTTTGCGGCGTGCCAAGATTTCGAAGTGGGCGCACTGGGTGGTACATAACCCTGGCCCTGGGCTGGGATGCGAGATGGTCATTGGCCTGAGATGCTACCCCGGCCGGATGAATGAATGAGATGGAGATGCACTTTGATCGGATGCAGTGGGGCTTGTTGCGGGGTGCTTTATAGCTGCGTATGTACTGGAAGTACCATCGCTCTCCGCTTTCGATATCATTATGCAGTGCTTGGGAGAACAGGCGTGGGAAAAACTCAATACATGTACCTATATGTAAGTAATAGAATGCACGATCCTATAAGAATACGAAGGACGAAAGCACATGTATTTATACAGTTAAAGATGACAAGTCTTATGCAGTTTAGCTAGACCATAGACACTACCTCTACCAGTGAGACCACTTTACAGCAGGCGAGTTACTCGGCCCTGAGTGAGAACCCATGAGGATTTCTACGTCCACCTACTCTACACATGCCTATATGTAATAAATCCAACAGCTATTTATCACACTCACTCGTGACTCCCCTTCCGCATCACGATATCAACTGACCCACTGCTTGGCGGTGTTTCTATTAATACAATTAAACAAGATCACCCGCCCGCCGGCACAGCTCTCGGGTGTGTGGCAGCTGCCGCCGAGCCTCCATTTTGTCTTGTCTTGTCTTGTAGCCCGTTGTAACCGTTTTTTTTCTTTTTTTTCTTTCCCCCTTCCACCAAGAGCCCAAGACAGGGCGGACCGGGGGGCTGCATGTATCTCACCATTGCCACTCCTGAACTCGTCACCGTGGCCACTGGCGAGTAACTGACTGCCTGACTGACTAACCCCAGCCTCTCTCTCTCTCTTTCCCCTTCTTCCCTTCCTTCCTTCCTTCGCTCAACCCCAGCATAACCCAACAGCCCCCCTTCCCTTCCATTCTTCCTTCCATTCCGCTTCCGTATCTTATCTTGTCTCACCACAGCAGATAGACACTGCTGTGAACATTTGTTCTGTTGTTCTCTTCTCTACGCTCGTTCCCATACATACCCCTACTATACCACACGCGACCGTTCCTGCTTTTCGTTCGTGCCGCTCACTTCCTCTTTCTTCGCCACCGTGAGATTCATTACCCAGATCCTCACCACCACCACTACTGCAATAGCTATCACCACTAATTAACTGTATTAAACCTAAATTATACTATACACCCCACACCCCATAACCGAACTGTAGCGCCCGGGCTGCCGCCGTCATAGCCATGCCCGCCTCGCCAAACTACGAATCGATAAGCCAGCACGATACCGACGATCTCCCTGTCACTCCCGGTGATACTCCAGGCGGCCGACGGTACTGCATCCATCCCTCTTCCCACCCGGCTCCCTGGTTGTGATACATGTCAGCTCCGTCTATGCTGTACCCTGTCTATGGAGTGCTCCTTTTGTGCATGTGGCTAACAGTTTTGCCTGCCCGACTCGCTAGCAGACGCCAGCGCCATGGAAAGTCGCTTCTCCCTACCGGCGAAGCCTCATGGCTAAGTAGTGTTATCAATCTCATGAATACCAGTATGCTTCCTCCTGCAATCTAGCTGCCACCGGCATGTGAATGAAAGAGACTCATGGAAGGAAATCTGTAGTTGTCGGCGCCGGTGTTCTTGCGATGCCTCATGCGATGGCAAAGTTCGGAATCACGCTAGGTGTATTCGTGATTGTCTTCTCGGGCTGTATGAGTGGCTTCGGACTGTACCTGCAGGCACGGTGCGCAAAGTATGTCGAGAGGGGCACGGCGAGCTTCTTTAGTCTTAGCCAGTTGACATATCCAAATGCCTCAGTCGTTTTTGATGCTGCGATTGCGATAAAGTGTTTTGGTGTGTGCCCACTGCCCATAGTATTGTGCTGTATATATATCGTGGGGTTCCTAACGAGATGGTGTGACAGGTGTGGCTGTATCATACCTAATCATCATCGGTGACCTCATGCCACAGGTAATCCTCGGCTTCAACGAGAGTGCAGGCAGCATCGACTACCTCATGGATCGTCGCTTCTGGATTACCGCCTTCATGCTAATCGTGATCCCATTGTCATTTCTGCGCCGCCTGGACTCGCTCAAGTACACATCCTTCATTGCCCTTGTCTCCATCAGCTACCTGGTTGTCCTTGTGCTTGCGCACTTCATCATCGGCGACACACTTTCGGATCGGGGCCCCATCCGTCCCCTCATTCCCTCGTCAACCATTGATGTTCTTAGCGCCTTCCCCATCATTGTTTTTGCCTACACTTGCCACCAGAACATGTTCTCCATTGTCAACGAGATCGGCGACAACTCTCACGGTAGCACTCTGAGCGTTATCTTTGGCTCGATTGGTTCCGCAGCTTTCATCTACCTGCTCGTGGCAATCACAGGATACCTCTCGTATGGTGACAATGTGGCTGGGAATATCATTGCAATGTATCCCGGTGCGTGGACGAGCACGGTGGGCAGAGCCGCAATTGTGATCTTGGTGGTGTTTAGCTACCCGCTGCAGGCACATCCGGCAAGGGCTAGTGTGGACAACGTGCTCAAGTGGCGGCCAGCGCGAGGTGGTGCGGCTGGGAGACCCATGATACCGGTTGCCAGGAGCACTGAGATGAGCGATCGCCGATTTGCAATCATCACGACACTGATTTTGATCGGGACGTTTTTGACGGCAATCATGGTGAACAGTTTGGAGAAGGTACTGGCGTACGTTGGCAGCACTGGAAGCACCAGTATTAGTTTGTGAGTTTCTCTCCATCTACCGCATGTATCGAGAGCGTCGAGACTAACTTAGCGTAGCATCTTGCCGGGGATTTTCTACTGGAAGATCTCGAACCCAGAGGCTGACCACCACGCGCTACTGAAGGACCACGAGGACTTGGACGACGAGGAGGTGGGAGAGTTTGTCGGCAGTGTTGACAACTGGAAGACCAGGCTGCTAAGGAGAGGGGCGCTGGCGCTCGTGTGCTATGGGTTTCTGGTTATGTTCGTGTGTCTGGGTGTTAATATCCTCGGACATCCGAGTCATTGAGTAGATTATAAATATTTATAGGTGGAGCGCTGATGGAACATCAGCAGTATCTGGGAACACTTGTAAGGCTTGGCTTTTGGATATGCAGGTGTTCTTACATACCGGTAGTTGGTGGTGGGAGAGTTTCATAGGTGGTTCATTATCGGGGGTAGAGACGTATTCATCTCTGGGCTAGAGTTTCTCGTGAGTTTTATTTTCTGTCTATTGTTGTTCTTTTATACTGTCGTTTTGTTCTCGCTTGTGATGCCCGGCATAACTTTCATCATTTATGGCGTTTTGTTTTCGGCCCTGTAGGGTTATTTGTGTTGTAATGTCTTTTCTCGTTATTATTCTATTGGTGATAATAGGGCATTAAGTAGGGTAGAGTATATAACTGTGTATGAGCCTAGCTAGGCTCATTTATTGGTCTCGTCTTATATATATGTAGTATTGGTAGATAGAACCGTAGATAGTGGCTTGGTGGGAATTGGTACAGAGGTTGTTATGATTGTGGTGTTCCAGAGGTATTGAAGCCGTGAAGGTGTTCGTAAAGCGTCACCAGAACCGCATAGCGCCGCCAGACAAGATCTGGGGAATGACATGAAGTGACTCGGAAAGAACACGGAAGCAACCTTTTCATGTACCCAATCCTCGGAACAGGTACCTGTCAGGTTCCCTCTGCCCCACATGGATACAAAAATCTACCTTTAGTCAACCAAAAGGTTAACGTCTGCAAGCACTCTATCAACCTTTAGCCGATCAAGACGCCAGTAATGTTATCAAGTAAAGTCCGTCAGACTAAACCTTCGCGGATGCACCGCCAATCCCGGAGCTTCCAGACATGCCTCGCCTGAGACATCCGATATGCAGGTACAACCATAGTCGTCTCCGTAGTATGATGTTTCTTAGACATACCGCCATAACTCGAAAAATTGGCTAGCTTCCAGAGGTCAAAATTACTTGTATGGGAAACTTCTGATGCAGATCGATGCCATTCAACCAATCACTCGAGTGATAATCCCTGGCCGGAGATAGCCAATTTTTCGAGTTTTGGCGGTACACTTAAGGTTCGTCTGACTACCGCAAGATTTGGAGCGTTGCACCCGGGCGTTAGAGAAGATCCTGGTATGTAAAAAGCACCAATTTTTGCTCGAACTGTGGCGAATCCTTCAGTTTTTGGTGAGAGAAACTTACCAGGATCTTATTTAACACCTGGGTGCAACGCTCCAACTTTTGCGGTATACATAGCCCATCCCCATCCCCCCAAAGAAAACTCAGAAATTGCACCTCCATGTCAGGGTCCAGTCCCGAATGACTGTTATTGATTCCACCGGAAGCCATATTGATGGGGATGGACCCTGTATGGTGTGTGGCTGTAGGGCTGCGTCTGGTCTGGTCTGGGGTTAGGGTACTTGGATGCGGCGGCGGCTTAATAGAGGAAGGAGCTTTATGGGTGCCGCCCAAGCACTGCTACTAGATGAGGTACCTACTCTACTCGTATTTCACTGACGTTTTTGAACTGGGCCATTATTGCATACACCCAAAATCATGAGCTTAGTATATTTTTATATAGCATGCAATATCAGTCACGTCCACAAACGTCAGTGAAATACGAGTACTCTTGTGATGCTTACTGATGAGTAATTATACCCTCTTATGCTTTATGACTTGAAGTGCATAAATGGCACTCGAGCTAGGCCCATGTACATGTACTGTATGTTATCACCATGCAGCGCCAGATAATGGTACTTTGGGGATGGGGATCGAAAATAAGACCGCATTTCTGGCAAAGCAGCAATCTGGGATAACACCCCCGACATCTCGCCAATTCTTGTTTGGGGGGGGTGGAGGAGGAAAGAAAAAAGAAAAGAGGGGAAAAGGATTCGTCTTCTTCGTTTCAAGACTCGGCAATCGTAAAGATATGTACACGTTTTTAGCCACAGGAACAATGAGCCGGGTGGAAGGAGATCTGAAGTACATGGTGACAGGCGCTCGCTCTGATTTGCTACTAAATTTACACACAGCGCATCATCTGCGGCGGCGGGTAGCGATGATGGAAAAAGAACACCCAAAGTAACGCTTTTGGGCCTGGCAGAGCGCCCTCATTTGCAGATCTGGGGGGGAATATAAAGAGAGGCACTGCTCACAAGATAGAGGGAAGGGTACTTACGCCGCAGATACTAGTGTTCTTGTCAAGTATCTTCGCCTCTTTGCAGTGCGTTCTCGCCGTATTTAGGCGGTAACCCGGAGCAGGACTCACCACTTCTACATTCGCATACTCGACTTTCTGTTTAATTGACGAAAAAGCCGTTTCTTTCTTTCTTTCTTCCCTTCAGGTAAAGGAACGCGAATTTAGATATTAGAGAGAGATAATATCAGGGATATTGATTCTTCCATCTCACGTCGTTCTTTATGCGAGAGGGAGAAGCAGCATACCCGTGATATATATATACTTCATATATAGGGTGGCCTCCTGGTTTATTTTTTTTTCTTATTGTTACTAGTGAGCCGGGAAGGATAAGCTCTACTCCCCAGATCGGCTGGTCTACCGTTCAATTTACGCTTTCCGTCTTCCTATCGACCTTCCAATTCCTCTTTTGTTGCAGCGAATCCACTTCTGGGTGTTCTTTTCTTTTTTTTTATTCTTCCTTTGGGAACCGAAATTTATTACTAGCTGGTACTACTAGTAGTTAGTAGTGTAAGCACACACACACTGTTCCACCAGTCAATAATACACATCTAGGTACAGCCTCACTGCCCCCCTCCCCAGTACGATTGCCTCATCTCCAGTCTACATATCCAGAGCAAGGCTCATGATTCCCCCACTCGTACCTCATGTTTCCAGTCCTTTGAAGTGGGAAGGCTAGTAAAGCAAGCAATCCCTTCGCCATACATGCACATCATCTCCTTCTCTTTCCTATTAAGATCTTACTTTTTTTATTGCATGGTAGACCCACTCGTCTGCTCTTTTTGCGGCGTACCAAACGTGCCAAACACATCACATATCATACATACATACTCCCCTCCCCTCCACCACTCATCTCAATTCTGTTTCCATAATACTCCGCCTGCCTACTTCTAAAGGAACTCTCCTCCCACATTTCTATTCCTCACCTCTATTCACACTTCCTCCACACACACACCGTCATCTCTAGTTGCCATTTCCACCCACCCCTTCATCCCCTAACAAGTAATAATTAATTGCAACACTTGAAGCTCACGATTTTCAGCCCTTGTCTCTAGCACTTTCAAAAGCAGATCCATTGTTGCATTCAAGCCACACGGACAGCCATACAATTAAAGCCCACTTAACCACTCTCCATTCTACGTGGTTGTCGCTACCGCCGTTCGAGGGTCTACGCTGCTCATCGTGAAACTAGCCCCTGCCGCGTCCGCGTCCCACCTTTTTCTCTAATTGATTGAACCGGAAGAGCGCCCTGTGCAGCACCCACTCCCACTTGCACCCCCATCGTCATCTAAGCACCCCCAGGTCTTCCCTGCCAGTGCTTGCCCCATCGCAATTCTCCTTCCGCCATTCCACCTGGGATCGCTTCCTCCCTCCCTCTTTCATCCCCCACCCCCCTAACTTTTTCATTGCAATAACGACACTACTACCAAACCCGTCGGAGCGAACAAAAACACTTGGGTTTCCATTTTCTGCTACGCTCCTTTCTACGACTGCTTGATCCCACTCACTTTTTGACATCTCCTTCGTGGGGAGTTACATGCAATCCTACACCTCCCTTCATCAACCGTCTGGAAGAAAAATGCAAGGGCAGGATAAAGCAATGTCGCGAGGCAGGTCCTATGGCGGCTCCTCGAGAGCGGACTTTGGGAATATAATTGGCGATCCGTTCGCTTTGTCAACCATCTCAATAGCTATAGTGAGTAGCGCTTATATATTACCTTTTTGTTGTTGCTGTTGCGGTTGCGAGGGGAAGCTTTAGGAGCCCGTTGCCGAGCAAACAGAGAGAGTTGTCGTTGTTGTCGCTTGTTTACTGTTTACTGACAAGCACAAACAGATAGGATGGCTGGTAGGGTTCGTCTCACAGATGATTGCGGACGCCGATAAAACGATTGGGAATTTCCCAAAGTTCGCTTGGTGGTCGATCGTCTACGTACTATTCTGTATAATTGGGGTGATCATTGTAGTATTAATGGATTCGGCACACAAATATCAGATGGCTGTAAGTTTTTATTTTAGTAATTGGGAGGGGCCTTTTTTCGTTTCACGAAATCTGTTTACTGATTCTATTTTGCGGGGGGATTTATAGATCGTGGGATATCTTTCAGCCGGGATGGTCTTTACCTGTTCGGCTGCAAACACACTCGTTTACACCGATAGGGGAACTATGCAAGCGGCGGGTGCTGGTCACATTATCCTCTCCATCGTCCAGGTCAGTATTGTCGACTTTTCCTGCTCGATGTCTCGAAAGGGGGGGAAGATTTATTAAATTGTTCGTTTCTCTATAGATTATTTGGATCTTCTACTTCGGGTCGACCCCCGACGCGTTATCACACGCCTATGTTGATTCGTTCGCTCTGCACAAGGACCAGAAGCGGTCTCAGAGCACACACCCGCTATCGCCTGGCTACCACGGCGACAGGCCGCATACCAGCACTAGCAGCCATCATGCACCCCAGATGTACACTAGTGCCCAGCTCAGCGGCTTCGAGACAAGCTCTCCGCAACCTGGTGCGCAATACAGGGAGTCGATTAATAAGTATGCTTCGCCCAACAGTGCGACACCCGCCCCTGGCCCTTCAACTACACCCCAGCCGCAGAGTGCGGCGATCCAGATCCCGCCGGACGAGGTCACCGCTCCCACCGATTACCCGTACAGGGCAAAGGCAATCTACTCGTACGATGCCAACCCGGAGGATGCGAACGAAATCTCGTTCACAAAGCACGAAATTTTGGAGGTTTCGGATGTTTCTGGACGATGGTGGCAGGCGAGGAAACAGAATGGAGAGACGGGTATTGCACCATCAAATTACTTGATATTGCTGTAAGATGGCGGTGTAATGGCATGTTGCAACCCCGGGCGGATTTGGCATTGTTAGGACGTAGGGGTTCAGAAGGAAAGTGCGTGTGTACGAGATTGGGACTGGGGAATCATCGGTTGTAGGAGTTCCGGGAAAGGAATATACAAATTGGCGTTCACCAAGATCTTTTGGATAGGCTCCACTACTATTCTTCAAAATACAATATTCGTTATGCGGATCAAACTTTTACACGCTGCGGGGTTGGCGGAGGTGATTTTCTTGTGGGTTTCTTCGATACACGCATTTCTTGGTAGCGACGTTGGGGAGGATCTGTCCTAGTCGTCGTCAGCGCGCTAGGCAACTTGGGTTTTATTAGGGGAAAGGTCTGGGCGTCCAATATCCATTTGTTTCTGTTCATTTGTATTTTTTTCAGTTCTGTTTTTTCTTTTCTTTTTTTTTTTTTTTGTTCCTGGAGAGGCTTTACTCTATTTTCTCTATTGATTTACATACCCCAAATCATGTTTTATATACCCCCGAGTTCCTCTCCTTATTTTTTTGGGCGTAAAGGAGACAGACGGTTTTTCTTCGTGCGTAAAAGATCTGTCTTGAACTCCTTTGTTGGTTAATGGATTCTACTATCCCTCCTCCTCCATCTGCACGCCAATTCCATACAGCAATATTTCTTTGAAAACTCTCCTTTGTTTTCCATTTATTCTTTCTTCCACAGGAAATTTGTTTCTCTATAATGTGGAGGGTTCTTATTTTCGGGCCATGAGAGATGAACTCTTACTTTCTTCGGAGCCGGTTGGGAAGCTAGTTCGTATTTTTGTATTTTGTTTCCTTTTTTCCCACTAGTGTGCGCAGGTGCACCGTAGTGAGTTAGTTGCTAGTTTTGGTAGAAGCAGTAGGGTATCTAAAAAAAAAGGGGGGGGGGGGAGGGGGGAGGGGGGGGAGGGGGTTGTAGTGAGTTTACTTTTTAAGCCAAGATATCGCGGCTATTCAATGCTCAAAAGATTCGATACCTATATACCTACTACGCACATGTCTGCAATTCCCATTGAGATTTTGCAAGCCCTTTTGCTTTTTGATTTCGGCCCGCTCCGCACGAAACGTGGGTCCGGGAATTCCTGGGACGAAATGAAATATGTAGAACTCACTGCACCACCAGCTAGAGCACCTACTCGTATTTCACTGACGTTTTTGAACTGGGCCATTATTGCATACACCTAAAATCATGAGCTTGGTGTATTTTTGTATGGCATGCAATATCAGTCGCGTCCACAAACGTCAGTGAAATACGAGTAGAGTAACAGATGTAACCCACCAACCAAAGATAGGGGCAGTGGTCGGTGGGTTGGATTGGTTGTATTTATTGTGGAGGCAGATGCCACTGGTTCGCTGTGCGTCACATCGCATTGCAATTGGATGGTATTATTATTATTATTTCCCAGCACCACCTAATGTACTAGGGTGTAGCGAAAAGTGATCAGAATCTGATAAGACAAATACACGTATTCACCGCAATATTCACTTATCAGATTCTGATCACTTACCCTCAACACCTGGTACTCTAGATACGTAGCATCTTTCCCGGTAACTCTTCGGAACCGTGCCGATTCTTGCTCGGAAGACGGTGCTCCTGTTAACGCGATAAATATAGTACAAGTAGGGCCACATAAACTTCTAGTAAAGCTAACAGCTGATGTCGATTTTTTTTTTTTTTTGGGGGGGGGGCAAGTAAGTCATCGGATTACCGTGTGTACCTACAGTGTAGCTTGCTCGAGGGTGGAGGTTCCTTTTTGATGAGACCTACTCTACGAAGCTCAATCAAAGCCTCCATAGAGTGACAATAAAATATTCTGGTAATCATGGTGACGGATGGCGTGTGATACAGAAGCCTGAAACATAAAAATACAAGAGATCGCCATCTAACCGTTTCTAACCTAACCCTGCAAACATCACATAAACCTGCCACTCTCTACTCTCTTCTAAACCCTTCTTACAGGTCGATAGGGTATCGTAAATCACCATAACTTGGTAAGAAAGGACTTAGAAATAAAAGATAAGTTAATAGAAGCCCCCGCAACATATCCTTCCTCTAAAGACGAATTGAAAAATAAATGAAGATTAAACAGATGCAGGCGTAAAATAGATTCCGGTAAAGAAAAGGGAAGGGAAGTTTTTGATGAAGACAGGCGCAAGCCCGGTGCATCACACATGAAAACGAAGCAAAACTGAACGTCAAGGTAAAAAGTTATTACAGATAAATGGGAAAAGGCCCTTGAAAAGTTGGGGGAAAAAAAATTTCTGCTGAACAATACTATAGAAGCATAATTAAACACTCGTTCACACTAACCCACACTCGCTCAATCATTTTTGATACTCGCATCCAAAACCGCAACGAAATCCCTATAAGAAACAATGAAACAAGAAAATAAAACAAGTGTTACAATAATCCCCACGAAACCACTTTACCCTCCACCTAGAGGCTGCGCAGAGAGATGCCGGCGGGATCCGCCGTTCATGATTACGGAGGGTAATGAAGCTGTTGACATTGCCGTTCCGGTCATTTGAGCGGAGTCAGCTGCTTTTACAGGAGCCTCCTCAATCAGATCCTCTTCTTCCTCTTCTTCCTTCTCCTCTTCAGAATCCTCATCGTCACTCCTAGTGTCCTCAGCTTGTCCTCCCTTGATAACCTTTACAGCTACACCGATGATCATGTAGAACCACATTAATGTGAGTACTTGCAATGCCAATAGCAAAAAGATAAATCCCATCAGGATAGGTTTCGTGAAACAAACTGCCTCCGTTGGATAATAGAACTGACGGATTAGAAGCGACCAATCCTGAATGATATCAGGCATAGGCGTTTGGGTGACAGAGCCTGGATGATAGCAGCCCTCTGGGATCATTACAAGTGCGTCTCTCCAGGCAGAATTGACAACGAGCATGTAACAAATATGTCGGCCAATAAACCAGGTGATGAGAAAGACGCCAAACGCCCAATCGCAGATTGTACTATAACCGAGGTACTTAAGCATTTTAGCAAGCTATTTCAAGCAATTGTCAGTAAGCGGGTCCAGCAAAGAATCGAGGAAGAGGCTCTGGCTCACTGGTAAAAGTGTGTCCACAACGTCCATGACGCAAAGTATCACATTGCCGACTCTGGTCATGTGCAATGTGTAGCTCGTGAACATGAGGGTACATGTAATGATGTGATGCGCGAACATTTGGTAGTAGTCCTTTCTTCTTTCCTCAATATTGAGGACAAAAATTTGTTGTAGCCAGAACGCGAATTGAACCAAGTAATACCACTTGAAAGTACCACCCAAATCGCGCAGAGGCCAGTTGGTCCACATCTCGGGGAGGTTGAGCCAGTACGGGCTGTCATACATCAGGTACTACAGGCAACGAAAGGGCATCGTTAGTCCTTTCCGGTTCTTTCGCGCAGTTGTGCTACAGGAAAATCTTTGGGAAGGAATTTGAGACATACCATCCCCAACGTCCAGAAAACAGAGTAGTAAACCAACAACCACGCTTGCTCAGCAAACCTGATAAGGCCTCTTTTGGTAGAAATTCCACCTCGTCTAGCCAATGGCGTGAAAATATAATCCATGGCAGTTGCCCGAAGGAAAGTAAACATCACTATCCAGAAGGATAGAAAATAAATGTCATCTTCACCCTTACCATAGAGATTGGTATCGGGATTATGGTAAGATATTTTGAAGAGTTTAGTAGTTGTGGATCGGTATTGCGGAAGCAGAATGTGAATTGCCGCGAAACAGGAAAGAATTATTAGTGAAAACTCTGTGAAAATAGCATATTAGTAAAATTCGTGTTAAAGACGGTTTTGATAAAAGTTTGCACATTGAGAGTGAGGGGTAAAGTGCAATTGTCATACTTACTTATTTGTCTTTCGACCATATAAGTTGCGAGGCGATCAAATGCGTTAAGAGGGGGCTTCGCATCCTTTTCCTTTGCAGGGCTCCTTTTTCTTTTGACTTTCAAGACCGAATTGTGAGTTGTGGCCGCAGAAGACCTCCGTCGCGGAACAGCCCCCTTTACACCATTCCTTACGGATCCTGCACCCATAGAACCATTTCTTGACCTGACTGAATGGCGCCGACCACTAGGCCGATCATCGTCTGAGATGGGAGAATACATTGACCACTCCGAGGCGGTGGTTATGAAAGTTGGTGTTGTGGGAGTTAGTTTCTGTATGAGCGATATGATGTGATGATAGTGATGGTGGTGGTGGTGATGTGTAGCTGGTGTGAAGGACAGGGAGATTGATAAGGAGGTGGAGGTGGAGGTGTGAGAGAGGGTTGGGGGGGTTTAGTTGAGAACTCGATGAGGGATGGTGCTACGAATTGGTACGGGCCCGATGAATGGTCAAAGGTATGAAAGAGAATATAACCTATTGAGGACGAGGAAAAGCGGTAGGGGGGAGAGGAGGATAGAAGAGGGGAGGAGGGGGTGTGAATTAAGTCGGATGCTACTTAGGAGGATTCACAGGGGGAGAAAAAGACACGGTGAAGTTGAAGGGACCTTCGAGGAATTTTACGAGAAAGGAGAAAACAGGCCAGACCAGACACAGAAGAGGCGGTGGTGGCGGTATTCAACACAAGAAGGTCCTCCCAGCCCGCCTATGTGCTTTACGTGACATACATAAATACACTTTAAGTCTACAGTTAGAGAGTGTGCTTTATGGACACACAAATTGTGTTGTGAGGTGAGTTTCTTAGGTGTGTACGGTACTGTAGTTAGGCCCTGAGCGGATCAGGGTCAATCAACACCCTAAAGAAAGGGTCAGGTCAGGAACCAGGGGTTGAGAGGGTAACCCATGCCCCGTGCTTGCTGAACCCCTCAACTAAAGAGCGGCACCAATCAACTCCCTCAAATTCGCGGTCAGCGTAACTCTTTGTTGGCCATCACTCAACCACACTCCAGGTGAAATTGACAAACTGACGCGCTTAAGCTATGCATAGATACTATCACCCATCCCGAGCGCGCGAGCGGCTGTTACCCTTCCATGATCTTGTTGGGAGCAGAAACCCGTCCGTGTCACGCCATACCCTTTTGTCTTGCGTAGCGGCTCTGCACAGTTCAAATCAATGGTTCAAACCCTTTTGTTTTTGTTGAACCGAAACTCGCCTCCTGGAGCGTGATTCGCTTTGTTATGCTACCTTTTTACGGTTGCACACATACATGTAGTGCTGTAGAGTAACAACGAGGTCACTCCCAAAGCTAAACACTATCCCTTGGACGGATGAAACTCTCAAATTCGCGACATCCCTCTTTCAGCTATCACTAGCCTTATGTGGTAACTGTAGCTGATTTTTCATTGGCTCAATTATTGTTATCACCTGCAAAAAGAAGGACAACTGCCTTACTAAGTGCGTGCACGGTCCATGTCGCGAATTTGAGAGTTTCATCCGTCCAAGGGATAGACTCGCCCCCACATTTCGTTGCCCACCCAAGAACTTATTAGTACCTGATACCTTCTCTACTCTCTCCCTATTTTCAACTAAGCAATGGATGATTCAGCGGATACCATAGCTGGAGAGACACTTTTCGCGCTCGAGACTCGTCTGCGCCGCTTGGAATTTGTCCTTCAAGGTTCAAGTGAAGATCCCATCGGCGAATTACACGCTCTGGGAGGGGCTGGCCAGAGGAACTCGGTCAGCGCACGTCTCAACGCGCTAGAAAGAGATCTGAACAGGCTCTCTGCAAAGTCGCAGACCGTAAAAGACATGCTCAATCTTCGTTTGTCCCCTCTCGCATAGCTATATACCTGTCCTGTCAAAGTAAGCTCCAGATCATCTGATAACTTATGATAATATAGATGCCAATTTTCCTGAGATCTTCAAAAACGTTCATCCTGCCATCCAAACCTCAACACTATCCTCTGAAGAAAAACTATCAACTGTTCTTGCGGCCGCTCCTTCGTTCCACGCTACCTCTTCGCAGTTGACCTCCATAATGGACACCCCCATTCCAAACCCGTCGATATCAACCGACTTGATTGCATTAGTCCCCAGGATAAACAGAGTGCAGGTGGTGCAGCAGGCCCAGGCGAAGGAGATCGCTGAATTAAGAAAGAGAAGTGCAGCACTGTTGGAGATGTGGTATTTATTGGGTATCGAAGGAGTGAACGAGTGCTTTGCCGAGTGGGACGAAAGAACCTTGGCAGTGGACAAGCTCCTATCAAGAAAGATTAAGGCTGCGGAAAATTCATAATATCAAATATTATCATTGCTCACTTAGCACTGTTTTTGAAACTTCTCCTACGTCTTCTTTCACAAGAGATAGATAGGTTACTTGTATATTCGGTCCAAGATAATCTGGCCAAATACTAAGGTGTTCAGTAAAAGGACACGACCTTTTGTGAGTCCCTCCTTAGAATCCGAAGCCACTGCTGTGATTTCAGGGCTTTGGTTTTCTTTTGTATCTTGCTTCCTATTGTTGTGTATATATGCAGTCATGGATTCATACATACATGTATAATCGGCACCCTAGATTGCTTTCTAAATATGAATGTAAGTATGTATGTACATTCATGAAATCTCACTCGAACTTCAATATTACGTAAACAAAATTATCAACTTACAGGTGCATGTATGTACATACTTTATTACTTGGTTTTTTTCCTTTTTTTCTCCCTTTTTATTTCTCTCTATAACTACATGTACATGTACATGTATTGGCCGAACAGCGGTGGCTTTTGAGCCATTCAGGGTAAACAATGTAGGCAAGGTAGAGCAAAAATGAGGACCACACCATTCCACATGTGAAAGCTCCATAGACACCTGGAGTTGACTCGCGCGGCCTTGCGTGAATATGAGTGTAATGGGGATTCTCCATGGCTAAGCTTGGTCTTTTCAGCTTTCTGGGGGTGTTTGTTTGCACTTTATCCTCAAGCTTTATTACCCACCTCGTTTTAGTGTTCCATCTCTCGATCGATCCTTCCTGGCTCTCATTTTAACTTAAAAGTACATGTTACATACATGTAACTACCATTTGGGGTAAACAGATACATGGTTCATAGGACGACCTGAAGCTGCTGGGTGGGATTGGTTCATACATATATTGCCTTGGCACCCACGGATGAGCACAATAAGGGTGTGGTTTTGTGTTTCAAACATTTTAGAATAAAAGGCCCTGTTAGCCTCATGTATACATGTACATGTATCTTACACTCCTTCGGAAAAATAGAGGACAAGGTGCCGCCTACGCCCATAGATAGGAAAGGGACCTAATTGCACCAAAGTAAAGTCGGAATCTAGACTTTGGTGTATAATCTTCCTTTAGCTATAAATTGAATTAGAATATGTAAATAAAGGATTGCAGCTGGAAAGTTTGTACTGACAATACGCCATTATTTTGTGCTAAATAGGTGGGTCATAGTTAAGATACGGAGATTTAGACAAGGAGGAATCGATTACAGCGAAAGCTTGCGATAACGGTGCCTTCTATAAGGGTAATCTCTCTATAACGGTAGCACTTCTCGGTCATTTTTTCCCGGCTTTCAGCACCAGCACCTCTTATATAAGGGTACATAATCTCACTATAATGGTACCGTTATAGTAAGCTTTCGCTGTATAGCGTTTGAGTGATAAATAATAGTGTGAATTATTTACTCTGTTGCGCCCTAACCCTAACCCACCATTCCCCCCCCCAAAAAAAAGAAAAAAAAAAGAAAAAAAAGGTTTTACTTAGGTATGGCTTCATAATATACTGTATGCAAAAAAATACTCCTGAACTTTGCCGGGAAGTCTTGCATCAGATTTAACCTAACTCTGATAACGAAGAGGGGAAAGGAAAGAAACGAAAATAAACGGACTACCAAAATACATCAAAATACAAAATGACACCACCGGCCCCGTCCACCATTCTATAAGCGCTGAAAGAGTAAAAAAAAAAAGGAAAGAAAAACCCTTCTGCCCTTTGTCGCTTTTTGTTTCTGTTCTTCTAACTTCGTCAAGTCGTAAATGTCTATATTTATGCAACCAGGTCGTGAAATAACAACCCATCATTTACTGGGAGGATTTATGCGTTCCGATTCCGGTTTCCATGATCCTATAGCACGAAAGTCTGTTAATACTACAATATTTTACAGAAAAAGGGACGCCCGACGAACCTTCAAAATTATGGTGAACAAAAGCCATTGGATCATCAATCTCTCCGGCACCCATTTGGCCAACCCCGGGAGAAAAGCTGGTTATAGGCAAAACCACCACATCCCCAACTTTCTTGGGTTCTTTCATTCCGGTAAAATTTTTCCAGGAGATACCACCTGTAGAGGCGCTCATGTCGAAGAAAGTCTCGTCGTTGAAGTACTCAAATACTGCATCAGTCCAAACTGCTGGGCCCGTCCACTCCACGACATTATCGTGATCTATCGAAAGTTTCTTTGCCTTTTTGCGATCCAAAGTCTCCATCGTGATGTTGGCAACAATTTCCCGTAGGACAGGGTGGCCTGGTTTCGATTGAATCGTCCATTGACAGAACTGTATTCTTCTTGAGTACCATTGGCTCCAGTCTTCACGATCAGGATCTGCCTCAATTCCAACGACCATCCCGACATCGCTGAGCTTAAAGTTGTCTGAAAGCCACTCAGTAGCTGGTTTCAAGGCAAGTGTATCTATATCGGCGTATATTCCGCCCCGGGCGAGCAAGATGAGATATCGAAAAAAATCGGCTTTGAGAATCGGCAACGGTAGAGCATCATAAGCATCCAAGACATCGGGAACGCCCGAGTAAAGATGTCTTATTAAATGGTTCGCAACCTGATCTGTAATAACCTAAATAGTAAATCAGTAACGATCATTGTGAATAATGTGTTAAGTGGTACCTCATGTACGAAGTCCGGATGCTTCTCGGTCCAGCTGGCTTCGGTGATGCGAAACTCTTCTTTGAACTCCGCACTGGCTGGAGTATATTTCCATGTTTGCCAAATGTACGCAGGAAATTTTGACTGCACATGGTATGGAAATTGATGGACAAGTTGCTCCTTCAAGGGAAGGTTCGCCAAGTTAGATATGGAGGTTTGTTGTTGTTTTGTGGGTGTATCAGCTCCCGATGAAACTTTTCGCGGGCGGTCTGTAAGATCTTTAGAGATAGGCTTGGAGTTGTGGGCGGGCGGTTGATTGGTGGGTGTTTTCTCTCCGGGGGTGCCATGCTCCTTCAGTGAAGCTGGCGATGGCTCGGCTTCAAATGTTGAGGGTGAGTGTGATCGTGGATACAAGTAGAATATACAAAAAAGCAACAAGGCCGAGAGTAATAAGGCTCTTTTGAAACTCATCATGACTGCTGGTGATATTGGATCACGGCAGGCAGGCTACGAGAGCAGGCAAAAGGAAATAGTTGGATGAGGATATATTGAGCAGGAACCTGGTGATTTCGTGTGTGATCTTAAGTATGAGTGCAGAGCAAAGGGGCGTAAAAGAAAGTGTATGAGATGGAAAAGAGTATCCAGTATCGAGTACTTATAAGGTATGATAATTATTTCAAGTTATTATATAAAGAATTGAGAGGGACCAGCCAAAACGAAAGGGGGGGGGGGGGGGGGAGGGCTGAAGGGGTGAGGGTGTAAGACGCTAAAAAGAATGACAAGCGGGAGAGACAAGCACGCAAACAAGCAAAGTGTTTAATGAATCGAGAACGAGTGAGGTTATTCCGCGGCTGACAGGAGCGATGGAAGCAACTGCTGCAGGTCGGAAGAAGCCTTTGAGCGACAAGCAGAGAGCGCGCCTAGGATGGTAGAGTAGAGTATGTAAGGTAACTGGCTGTAATGGTGGGTTGTCTAAACTATTGACGTTTCCAGGCACTGATCGCACAACTAGTCGCTTGCAGCGATCGCTAAGTTTTGTTGATTTTGATTTCCTGGGCGATATAGGAACCAAGATCTGGGAAACTATGGAGGAGGCGAAGCTAGATGGGATGATGAGAAAATAGATATAGATATAGTTTTATATAGCTATATTACTATGATCTTACATTCAGTGAACGCGAGGAGAAGATAGCAGCGTTTGAATGGTGGGGTTCGGGGTACTCTTATGTATTATGTAGGTGTCTAGGGGGGCACTGGTAAGTCGTAAATGTGCAGGAAGGCTGCATGGAACTTTCTTCTCATGCTCCGATGCCGTTCCGTTCCCGCCAGCGACTTGTCAAAGGCTTGCGTGGCCTATTACATCAATTACGTGCGGTATCCTATTCACTATTCCATCATTAATACAGCTATGTACATGTAGTAAATCTTATTCCTGTTGCTCTCCTTTTATCCTTCCTTATCATTGCCATTCTAGCTTCAAAATGAAACAAAAGAAGCCATGTTAATTTGGTCGATCACTAGATGTCGTAGTGTGCCTGGTTGATGTTGAACAGGAAGGACTGATACCCGGAATACCTCCGCCCCAGGTTATTTTGATTTAACCAAGCGTCTGGGATTGAAACCAGGGACTGCCGCTGCCAGATCGAAAGCCTATCAAACAATTGCCTATTTTACATAGAGTACTGTTACTGTTACTGTTACATATCGAAGTACAGCGGGGAGTAGCATATAGTATAGTACCCTGTATCTATATTCTGCACGCAAGTGAGTCTCATTAAAAGTTGAAGATCACGTGCTTGGAGAGGACCTATGCCCACCCATATGATTCGAGGTTCTTGTACCTACATGTATGTAGGCACAACCGGTACTTCCTGTGTGTTGCTGCCCCCGGGCCCCTGTAATACAAGAATTAATTTTTTATAAAAGATCTATTATTTGATAAAGTGATAACAGGATCTGTTGCACAATTTACCATTTTTCGCGCCAGACGAAGTGATACGTAAGGATTTTGATTGAAGGCTATTTAGCACCCGATAAGACAGCTCTACACGCATGTAGGTACATTATGTAGATACTACCCCGATGCACCCGTGATGTTTGCTGGATTTAGAATGATCGTATTTCTGGCTGACAAATAATACCAGACCGGCATAACGTTTCATGGCAGATCGATTCTGAATAATGTAAATTGATAGAAACTTACATAGTACATACTTCACTGGGAGACTGATTAATCGTAAACATGGTTTTTCGAATAGTACATGCTCCAGTACATACAGAGCGCCAAGTGCTTGAGCGTTTTGTTGAATGTTTATATACCATAGCTCAAGTGAAAATGAGATTGTTTCCGAAGTGTCTACATAGCAGAAACCATGTCACCTTGCAGGGACAGATCGCGTCATTCAGGGTTGGGTTTTAGATCGAGGCCCATGGTGGGGTGCAAAATATTTGCTGCCCCACAAAGGTGCACATGTATTATACTGCTCGTGAGAGCCATCTTTGAACCTCGTCGCAGCAGTCCTAAACTCCACCAGAAAGTCCAAATAACTAGCCGGTAGTCCCCGTCGAAGACAGTGTAGGACGAGAAGATCGAGAAGTTTGAAATAGTGACGAGATGTCTAGCAACATCAACCGACAGTTGCTAAGGGTTCTATGCTATCCTCGTTCTCGGCAGTATAAAGCTCTATCCAGTCCAACCATCACTGCATCGCCCTTCTTAACCTCAAGATTAAAGCGCAGCCAGTATGTGTCGCCTTCATCGGTCCGGGGTTTTATCACATCTGCACCGCATTTATCGGGGGCCTCCAACCCACAGATGGCGTTTCCGTGCCTTGATGCCATAGAGATGCGAACGAAGGAAATCGAATCGCGCTCCATGGTGAATGGCCCCGAGCCTTCTTACACAACTGGCGCTCACAAAACTTTCACTTCGAAAACTCCGATGCTGTTAGATTATGGTGGCATCCTTCAAGAGTTCACCATTGCCTATGAGACCTGGGGCGAGCTTAATGTCGATAGATCGAATGTTATACTATTACATACAGGGCTCTCTGCGTCTTCTCATGCAAAATCGAACCCGGATAATCCAAGGTTCGGATGGTGGGAAAAGTTTATAGGACCAGGCTGTGCTCTAGATACAGATCGTTTCTTCGTTATATGCACCAATGTCTTGGGTGGATGCTATGGGTCTACCGGGCCATCGAGTATCGATCCCGCAGATGGTGAAAGGTATGCGACTAGATTCCCGATAATGACTATGGGAGATATGGTCAGCGCCCAGTTTAGACTTCTGGATCATCTTGGAGTGGAAAAGCTCTATGCTAGTGTTGGCGCTAGTATGGGGGGAATGCAAAGTTTGGCGGCTGGAGTGCTATTTCCTGAGAGAGTTGGAAAGATCGCAAGCATCAGTGGTTGTGCTAGAAGTCATCCTTACAGTATTGCCATGCGGCATGCTCAAAGGCAAGGTAGGGTTGCAATTTTTTTTTATGTTATATTCCAGCAAAGAGGTCATCAGCCATAACTAACGAGAGAGAAAGTCTTAATGGCCGATCCGAACTGGAATCGAGGATTCTACTATGGCAAGGTCCCGCCACATCTAGGTCTTAAGCTTGCCCGCCAGATCGCAACTGTAACATACAGATCCGGGCCAGAATGGGAACAACGCTTCGGAAGACAGAGAGCAGATCCCTCACGCCCGCCTGCATTATGCCCAGATTTTCTTATTGAAACATATCTCGATCATGCCGGCGAAAAGTTCTGTTTAGAATATGATGCAAATAGCTTATTATATGTTTCGAAAGCAATGGATCTGTTTGACCTCGGCGCAGAGTACCAAGAAGTAATTCGAAAGCAGAGGGAACGAAATAAACATAAACTATCCCCAAACCACGTCGAAGAATTAAGCGAACAGAGCGCGAGCCAGTGCTCTTTGATACTCCCTTCGCAGCCTTATACGGAACAACCAAGAGAAGACATTGATGCTTCAACGACTACCGATGATGGATCCATACCTCCTGATCTTGTTGCTGGGCTGGCACCAATGAGAAACATCCCGACCCTCGTTCTAGGCGTTACGAGTGATATCCTATTTCCTGCTTGGCAACAACGAGAGGTAGCGGAGGCTTTGAAGAAAGCGGGGAACCGGAGGGTAACACATGTCGAACTGGGAGAAGATGTTAGTCTGTTTGGACATGATAGCTTCCTGCTAGATATTAAAAATATCGGTGGAAGTGTAAGGCGTTTTTTGGAGGGCTGAAAGGCCAAAAGTGAGAAGTGAAAATTCGGACTTCCTTCCAGTTGTCTGTACGGATTGGATTCGTTACATCCTCCTGTAGTTGATCTATTCAAATTTAATCACGGAGGTCTTTCTGGCTTATAATAAGCTGCAAGTGGATAACAGGTTAAATGGTTCACGAGAACTCGAGTGAAATAATGGAGCCCATATATCGCCTTTCGACCCGACTTACAAATGGAGATCATTTACAACGAAGGCTGTTAACAGTAGTTTGATCTAACGCCTGATCAAAATACTTCGAATCTGATTTATATCATTCCTGAGGCTATACAGTATTAGAGCAAATATCCTCAATACCGCCGATGAAATTACCCTGTGTATATACTGCTGTACACCGATTTTGTGCACGGAACTCCGGTAGTTGGGAAATTCCAATTTCAGAGAAAATTAACAGAAGCGACATATAAAGATGTTGCGGTATCCACATCAGCTGCAACTTCCTATTCTGGCCTCGTTAACTAGAATTGCATGTATTAGAACTAAAGGCTGGAAGTGTAAAAAAACTCAATATTAAGAGACACCGAGGGAGGGTTGGGTCATAGACTGTGTGTACTAGTACTTGTGCCGAGAATGTCCCTATGCCGAGTAGCTTATCTGATCTCCAAGGGTCTACTCCAACTGAGAGCCAAAATGCTGCCTTTACTATGTAGATCAGATAAGCTGCTCGGCACAGGTACACTCTCGGCACAGGTACATTCTCGGCACAGGTGCACACGGCATACTATTCTTGAATAATTGTACAGCTGCCAGGTTCAGGCTTTGTAGTAATATATTTTTCTAGCCCCTAGATTTCACTGGGTCAGAAAGAATGCAAGTCACAGATTATCACTCCATATAGGTATGGAATTGTGACAATTATTGCAGCGGAGTGAATGGAGCCGTTTCCACAACAGCGATCTGGAAAACAGTACCAATGGAAAGAAAGTATCGTGCAAGAATCGATAGGGGACAGATCCACTACAGGCCTGTAGACCTTCAGGATACAAAAACCGATCCAGGGTTAGGTTTAGACAGTGACAGAATGTGGGTGGGATGACAACCGTAGTCATTGGCGATTCCAGAGAACTACGGCAGCATTACCGCATACTTCGTTAAAATACGGGGGTAAAGGCATCGTTGTGCTGGTGCGGTATCAGTTTTATCCCGATTTCTCATACGGTATGCATGTTATGTTCTTGGTGTTTTATTTCCTATGTCAGAAATACGTGAGAGGAGGCGGAGGAGAAGGGGCAGGTCAGGGGTATTGCCATAACTGTAAAGTTGCATGCAATTAATGAATTAAACAAAAAAAAAAAAAAAAGGCTCTTGGTATAGCGAGTGATATTTTATGATACTGGTTGAGTTCAGGTCTCGAATAAGACAAAAACATTTCGCCCTTAACAACCGCGGAACGGTGAATTGCTATAACAAGATCTAAGTATATAGCGTGACCTACAAGTCAAATCAAGCCCAAGTTTTGAATTGGCTCGAGCCATCTCGTGATAACAGTGCGTGGGCTCGGCTTGCTTGTTAAATACTCAAGGGCTTGA